AATCTAAGTATGTTTTTATTGCAATAATAGTTTCCTTTTCGATCGGTGTATAACACTAGTTAAATTTGTGTTATATTTTCAGAAAACATGACTAAATTATAAATTTTCCACTGGTATTTTTTAAGTATGTAAGAAAAATTTTTCAGTGATTATAGTCGCAAAGGACTTCTCTTTTCCGTTGGTTTTTCAACTGTTGTACTAGAGCAAATTTTTCGATGAAAAAGTGCACAAAAGTAACAGTGTAAAAACTGTTGTGAAATTGCAATTTTGAACTGTTACTATTGCTACCTGGGTAACCGTAGAAGATAAGATGCCTAACGAACAAAAATCCATTGTGCGCTACTTGACCGTGGGCCAGCAAGGCGTAACTTTAGGGGAAGATTGTGATTTCCTTGAAGCTCTCGACTAATAGAATACGTTTTTTATGCCCGCGAATTCCACCGTGGTTGGTAAGGGGGGGGGGGGGTAAGCTCCGCCCCTAACCCCCTCCCAAGATTGCTCAGAATTCCGAATTTTCCGCGAAATTTCCCATCTTCTCGAAGAGGCTTGATTTTAGAGCAAAACTCCAAATAATCACTCTGAAAGTTCTTGAAAATTCCCTCCCGGATACGATGTAAAAAGATAACATGTAAAAGAAGTTTGGACCTGTGGACTGATTCTTGAAATTGATAGAAGAAGAAGAAGACAAAAATAGAAAATGGAGGGATCGTAACAGTGGAAGCGGGTGTTTGCAATGAACGAAGAACTAGTAATAGACTATAACGAACGGCAACTTACGAGGGACATAGTTAGTCCATCATACCCGCTTCTACCGATAGGATCGCGTTTGTCTCCTTTGCCTATAATATCCTCAATCAGTCCGCTCAAGTCCACTGTCAGCATTTCAAGAGCAACAATTCTTTTTTCTCTGCATAAAGTCGTGCTCATGTTTTTTTTTTTTTTTTTTTTCTTCACAGGTAAAATTTCTAGGTAGCGTCACAGTGCAAGCATTCCCTCCGGGTGTAATACCCAAGACGGGCATTTGCAAACCTGAAGAAATAAAGGCTGGGGTATGTTGTTGGATATTGTGTGATCATCTTTTAAGTAACTTTGCAGGTCGATGTTGACATCATCATGCTACCAATGCCCTTGGCTCTTTCAAATTTAGTTCTTTAGTAAATTGTGATATTTTTTTTTAAGCGTGCCAGTAGGGCTCGCTTTTTGAAATCACTCGGATGTACCATAGTACAGCACACAGATCAACCAATGCTATTCAACGGGTCGTCCAAATACTTTTTTCCTCGCACCCGTTTCTTTGTCTTTGAACCATTACACTGTCAAGCCCTGATGGTCTTTTACCAAAAAATCTAATGAACTGCTAATTGGAAACCCTTGAGAACATTTTTCTGTCAAAACCGTATTATTCAATTTGACAGAAACCTCATAGGAGCATTCTTACGCTCGGAGGACTCAACTCTAGAACCTTCTTTCCCGCCAAAACTCTATAGCCAATGAGCGTCTTGCACTGTAAGTGCAATCTGTGATGAGCCTCGTGACTCATTATACTATGTACTAACCATGACCCCTGCCGAAATCCACTTAAACCACTACAGTTATCTCGCGATATAGCTTTGGGTGTCCGGTTTTGAGCAAGGCAATAAAAGACGGCGAGGCGATTAACCGATTAACCATTCACCGTGATGCCAGGATCCACCAAATTTTCTCAAAAATTGTTTTCCGTCTATTTAGCGAGTTTTTCTTTACTTCCCGTTGAAGTACAAATAAAAAGAGACCTCATTTGTACAAATCGGCCGAATAGGAGAGAAGTTACAGTTCGAAATCCAAAGAGATTAACTGAACGCGATTTCGATGCACGGCAGTTCGCCCAAATCACGGTCGTGCGCAAATGCCGCATATCAGCTTAAAATCAAGATAAT